AATGTTTTTGCAGTAGTAAAGATGCTCTTTAATGTATAGTTTAATCAGGTGTTATTAGGAAGGAGACTGAGAATTAAGGTGTCACAGTGAAGCACTGGAGATCCCATGGGAAATTTTCACAACTCCACAAATGCACAGTAAGCAAAAAAAAAAAAAAAGGACTTGATTTGCCACTAGTTTAGAAGACAAAACCAGAAACAGATCTGTTGCGTAGGAGGGTTTCTGATACCTACAGAAACTTAAAGACCAAACTCGGTTGAACTGTCCATCTGTTCGTGAAGATCAGGAATTCCCTGCATTTGCTTGACAGCTGAAGTTAAGGTAAAGTGCCACATTATTTATTTAAAAGATAAGCTCACAAATTGCTATGGAAAGTTGTACTGAAAGTGTTACTAAGCAATACTGAGAGCAGCTATATAAATCACTAAATTAAATCTCCATGCAATACTGTACTTTTTCCACAACTGTGTATATGTAACATATACACACACAAAGTAGCATATGTGTGTGCATATATATACAATATACTGTATATTAATTATAGATTAATGGTAAGGTAATTCTACCTCTTATAAAGAATTTTGTCATGTACTTTGTTATAAATAGTTTGTTTTCCTTGATAAAATATTGTTTAATTTTGAAATGTAGATATATAGACATACAGCTAATTGACAATAAAATGCCTTTATCATCCAGCCTCCTTGTTTCTTGGCTTTTCTTACGTTAGATATTTTGATGCTAACCAATAAAATTGGATATCTAATAGAAAAGCAGCTCTTCAAAATGACCTTCCTTCTTCTAAAGCATGTAATGTATTTTTAAGTATCACAGTATCACAGTAGGCTAGAGATTGGAAGGGAGCTCAAAAGATCATCTAGTCCAATCCCCCTGCTGGAGCAGGAACACCTAGATAATGTTACACAAGAATGTGTCCAGGCGGGTTTTGAATGTCTCCAGGGAAGGAGACTCCACAACCTCCCTGGGCAGCCTGTTCCAGTGTTCCGTCACCCTCACTTCTCAAGTTTAAGTGGAACCTCTTGTGTTGCAGTTTGTACCCATTACCCCTTGTCCTATCACTGTTTGCCACTGAGTAGAGCCTGGCTCCATCCTCGTGACACTCCCCCTTTATATATTTATATACACTAATAAGGTCACCCCTCAGTCTCCTCTTCTCTAAACTACAGAGACCCAGCTCCCTCAGTCTTTCCTCATAAGGGAGATGCTCCACTCCCTTAATCATCTTAGTTGCCCTGCGCTGGACTCTCTCCAGCAGGTCCCTGTCCTTCTTGAACTGAGGGGCCCAGAACTGGACACAAATATTCCAGGGCAGAGTAGAGGGGAAGGAGGACCTCTCTCGACCTACTAACCACCCCCCTTCTAATACACCCCAGGATGCCATTGGCCTTCTTGGCCACAAGGGCACAGTGTTGGCTCATGGTCATCCTGTCGTCCACTAGGACCCCCAGGTCCCTCTCCCCTACACTGCTCTCTAACAGGTCGTTTCCCAACCTATACTGGAACCTGGGGTTGTTCCTGCCCAGATGCAGGACTCTACACTTCCCCTTGTTACATTTCATCCAGTTATTCCCTGCCCAACTCTCCAGCCTGTCCAGGTCTCGCTGGATGGCAGCACAGCCTTCTGGCGTGTCAGCCACTCCTCCCAGCTTAGTGTCATCAGCAAACTCGCTGATAGTACACTCAATTCCCTCATCTAAATCATTGATGAATATATTAAATAATACCGGTCCCAGTACTGACCCTTGAGGCACTCCACTAGTTACAGGCCTCCAACTAGACTCTGCCCCATAGACTACAACTCTCTGGCTTCTCTCCTTCAGCCAGTTCACAGTCCACCTCACTACCTGATCATCCAGTCCACACTTCCTCAATTTAGCCGTGAGGATGCTGTGGGAGACTGTGTCAAATGCTTTGCTGAAGTCAAGGTAGACCACATCCACCGCTCTGCCATCATCCATCCACCGTGTTATTTCCTCATAAAAGGCTAAGAGATTGGTCAAATATGATTTCCCCTTGGTGAAGCCATGCTGACTGCCCCTCATAACCCTCTTATCCTTGATATGCCTTAAGATGGCACCAAGGATAAGGTGTTCCATCACTTTCCCAGGGATGGAGGTGAGGCTGACCGGTCTATAGTTACCTGGGTCCCCCTTCTTGCCCTTTTTGAAGACTGGAGTGACATTTGCCTTCCTCCAGTCCTCAGGCACCTCTCCCGTTTCCCAAGACTTGGTAAAGATGATGGCGAGTGGTCTAGCAATGACTTCCGCCAGTTCCCTCAGCACCCGCGGGTGCATCCCATCTGGACCCATGGATTTATGGATGTCCAGATTGCTCAACTGGTCTCTAACCCATTCCTCATTGACTAAGGCAAACCGCTCCGTTGACCTGACTTCATCTAAGGTCTCAGGGGTACAGGGCTCTTCAGGACTGCCTGCAGCAGAGTAGACAGAGACAAAGAAGGCATTCAGTAACTCTGCCATCTCTGTATCTTCTGTCACCAGGGCACCCATCCCGTTCATCAGTGGGCCTACATTGCCTCTGGTGTTAGTTTTATCTGCCATGTATTTGAAAAAGTTCTTTTTGCTGTCCTTGACCCTTCTCGCCAGGTTTAATTCTAAGGAGGCCTTAGTCATCCTAGCTGCCTTCCTACATCCTCTAGCAGCAGCCTTATATTCCTCCCAAGTGGCCAGCCCCTCCTTCCATGAGGAGCTGTAAACTCTCCTCTTCCACTTGAGCATACCCAGCAATTCCCTATTTAGCCACGCAGGTCTCTTGGCCCTCTTCCTTGACTTCCCACGTGTCTGGATGCTCCGATCTTGAGCTCAGAAAAAGCAATCCTTGAATGCCAACCGTCTTGGGCCCCTTTACCTTCAAACAGCCTTGCCCATGCGATTTCCCCTAGCAATTGCTTGAAAAGGCCAAAAAGTAAGGTGACATTGCACAAAGTCATTAGTATGATGGGTATCTTTTATAACATCTCTAGCTAACCTTGTACTTGCTTTGTATAACATCAAGTATTTAATCAGCGTGTTGACAGTATGATGTAAAGGTTGCATCTGAAAATACCATAACTTAAAAGCTGTGTCTGAATTGAGGAAGCTCTTTTTTCCTGGACAAGGACGCCTGTTAAAGGTGTACTATACCTTGTCTTTTGCAGATGTAAAAGGTTTCTTAGTCTCACAAACAGCAGGGTCTTTGTCTGTAAAAACCTAAAACATCATGCTTTCATTAGCTTCTTATCCTTCCTTTCAATTAAAAACTAGTCACAAATGGTGCTAACATGGTTTAACTGTGCTGCTGATTATCAGCACATTTGTGTGTCACGTGATTATTTATCCAGGGTGCTTAATATTCCTGTTGGCTAAGTCTGTACCGCAGTGGATGATGTGGGCAGTATGGAACTGTTACACAGCCACTCTAAATGAATGGCAAAGCCAGGGACAGAGCTTTGGAAGTTGCCCAAATTCTGATGGAAGTCTCATCTAAAAACACAATAAATGCTTCTGCCACTACACTCAGAAAATTAATGGATGGTGTTTTGGATGTGTAGAGTAAATACAAAAGAAAGGTAGCTAAATAAGAAGTTTCCAGTACATAGGAATTAACCTCTCCCCTAGGATTTTCTTCTAGATTTTCTATACAAAATACATAAATGCCAGCTAATGTACAACATATTTTTTGTTTTTAAAAATGAAAGATAAATATAGCCAATATTCTGTTACAGTCTGCTTCCTAACAACAGCAACAAATCTAGGGACAGTGAAAGGTCAGGGAGGTCTTTAGAACCTTGTAGCTTTTAAGAAATACCCTGGAATTTGGTTCTCTGTTTATCCTCTGTTCCCTTCTCCTTGAACTTTACTATTTCTGTTGCCCCATGTATAAATGTATCTTCTTGTTCTGGGAGTGCAAGCACAGGAGATCATTAAAACAGGTTTGATAAACAGTCAAGGATGGGTTAAATAGATCTAGAGGTTTCACTGGTCCTGTGATTCCATGGCCTTATGAAGCTGTTAATCATCTCTTTAAAGTATGCCTTATGAAGCTTTTTGGTTGGGGAGAGATTTCTTGTTACAGATTTAGAGAATATTTTTCAATTACAGTACTGCAGAAAGAGGAGGATTTGAGTTTCTATAATAACTGTTCTCTACTGACAGCTAAACAATGAAAGGCCTCAAAAGGTTTGACACTTGATTAGATCTACACTGTAAGGTGCAGCAGGCAAAAAGTATGGTAATTAAGGGCCTGATCAAGTAAATCACTCAGGTATGTCTTTAACCTGGAGTACATGAGCAATCTAATTAATTAAAGAAGAACGTAGGTATTCTTGTTGGTAACAAATGCATGTTTGGATCAATAGTCCTGTCAATTGCAAACACGAGCCTGTCAAACGAAAGATGTGCTGTGTTGCAAAAAATTAATCTGTTAACCCACACTAATTAACTCCAGTATCTTAAAGAATGTATATTGTAACTATAATTATTTCCTAATAGATTATTGGGTGTTGTCATTTGTTAGCACCGTGAGTTTAACAAAGATACCTTTAGTCAATATACAGATCATACCTTACCAGCCAGGAGCATTCATTTCTGTAGCCTACATATAACCCACATGTAAAAGCACTTTATCTCCTACAGTCACCAAAAAATTAAGCAGCATTCCTCTTCTGGGAAGCTTTCCTGAGAGGAAATATTAAGTTCTTTTACTTGCTTTCTTATTAAGTCTTGTGCAGGGTAAGGACAGCTAACATTTCGTTACTGTTTGAATAAGGTACCTTTGAGTTCCTGAGAGAATCCAACTACAAACTCTTGTCTATTTGGGAAAGAAGTGTTACGTCCAGCTTTTCACACAGCTTTTAGTCCATGCAACCACCTGCCAGTCACCTCTGCTGGGACTTGTGCTCTGAATCAATTCTGGTATGAGACCGTTTCAAACACCGCACTGATTCTGTTTTATCTGTGTTCTTACTGGCACCTCCAGCAGGATCTCCTGTGGGCTGAGCCAGGCTGTTTAATCAAGAAATACTGAATATTTAGGCTGAGTACCAGCTTCCTCAAATAAGGAATTTTGTCTTACCAAGGATCTGTGCATCTGTTGTGTTTGAATGATTTAATTTGGAAAGTGTATTGTTGTTATAGACCAGTTCTAAAATTAAGCTTGCAGAAGCATAGTGCACTTTCTCTTAAAAAAGTGTCAGAAATAAAACCAATTTAAGGGAAGTATCTCGCAGAGGATTTTCTCCAGTAAATAAATCGTGTTTCAGACAGAAGTGACTGATACTGGTTTGAAAGCCTGCTGCAAATGAAAGTTGTGTAAATGGCTTTGAACCAGGAAACTGGTAACGCGAAGGGAAGAGTCAGACTGTGTAGATGCAGTATTTCTGGAGCATGACAGGGTTTGGGTTTTTTTTTTTTTTTTTTTTTTTTTTTCTTCTTGATTTAACAAGTTGAAAATCTGCTGAATAATTCATGAAGAGTGGAAGGGCTGAATCTTCCTGGAATGATATACAGTGTACGTAGCGTGGCACAGGAGAAACTGCAAAGCTTTGTATCAGTTGCTACCGTTTCTGCTGCTGATTGCAAGGTGCTGCTGCTCTTCACATTTTCACAGCTCCAGAAGCCTCAGCCGTGCTCTGGTCTGCTCACAGCCATCCACTCTCTATGGACCCACCTTCGCTACCTACACGCTGTGGGATCTCATAGTACTGCGTGCCTTGGACACTGCCATTCTCTCACTGCACACTGTGTGTTCTGGACCTTGCAGCCCGTATGACTGGAACATGCCTTAAGAGCCCCTCAGCTGCACATCCTCCCTTGTGCTTGGTGGGGGACTCCTGCAGCAGGATCTTCTGACCCAGACCAGGATGGGATTTACAGGGAGAAGCCAAAACTGAGCTGCATTCAGCGAGATGCCCAACGCCTCTTCCTGGAGTGCCAGCTCGCCTCTGCTGCTGCTCTGGGAGGACTCCTCTGGGACCCGCATCTTCCTCTCGCTGCTCTACGCAGTCTTGGCTATCTCGGGGACCTTATCCAATGTGATGGTCATCTATTTGGTCTTCTCCTTCAAGAAGCTGCAGACAACCAGCAATGCCTTCATCGTGAACGGCTGCGCGGCAGACCTGAGCGTGTGCGCCCTGTGGATGCCCCAGGAGGCTGTGCTGGGGCTGCTGCCGCCCAACTCCTCCTCCCTTCGCTCCGCAGAGTACCGGCTGCTGCGAGGGGGGCTCCTGGGCCTCGGCCTCACCGTGTCCCTCGCCTCTCACCTGCTGGTGGCCTTCAACAGGTACGTGCTCATCACCAAGCTGCCCAGCGTGTACCAGGCCCTCTACCAGCGGAGGCACACGGGCTGCATGATCGGGCTCTCCTGGGCCCTCGCCCTGCTCCTGGTCCCGCTGCTGCCCGGGCTCTGGACGCCAGGCTCTGCCCAGCAGCCGCAGCGGCGGCAGACGGACGGCAGCTCCCGCTACACCGCGCTGCTCCTCGCCCTGGCCGTGCTGGGCCAGACAGCGCTGCTGTTACACTGCTACCTCGGCATCGTGCGGCGGGTGCGGGGCAGTGCCAAGCGGGTCAGCGTCCTCAACTTCCACCTCCTGCACCAGCTGCCCTTCCCCGCCGCGCCGCCGCCGCCCCGCCGCTCCCAGCGCCGCCTCAGCAGCGTCTCCGTCCTGCTGCTGTGCTGCGTGTTCCTGCTGGGCACGCAGCCGCTGGTGTGGGTCAGCCTCCTGGGCTTCTTTCTGCGCCCGGCGCCGCCAGCGCTGCAGGCCGCCAGCTGGCTGCTGCTCTGCGCCCTCTCGGCCCTCAACCCGCTACTCTACACGTGGCGCAGCGAGGAGTTCCGCCGGGCGGCCCGATCCGTCCTGCCCCGCGCCGACGGGCCCGCTGCCGCACCGCGGCCCGCCTCGGCCGCCGCCGGCCCCGCCGCCGCACCGCCCTGCCCGCAGCTGCCCAGGCGGCGAGGCACGGGGGGCAGCGCCAGCGGCAGCGCAGCGCCGCGCTGAGGGGCAGCGCCGGGCGGGAGCAGCCGCGTCCCCTCAGGCCGCTCCCCGCCCGCGGCCACCTCACGGCGGGGAGAAAGCAGTCCGCCGCGCCCCCCGTCAGGCCCGGAGCCCGGCACCGCTCCGCGCTTCGGACGTTCTCCTGTTGCTACTCTCTGGCCTCTCTCCTCCCTCTTTGGCCGCGCTGGCACGAAGCCCGAGGCTCCGAGGCTGAGGTGCGGGTTTCCCGCCGCCCGCTCCCCTCAGCTCCGCTTCCGGGTGCCGGCCAGGACTCCAGCCAGAAGCGGTGGATTTAGAAAGCTGGGATAACTGGTAAATATGGCAACCTACGTCACTGTTATGCTTTAAACTGTCGTTATGCTTTAAAGATGTCAATACGAGGCAGGCACCCAGACAGCTCTTTTTGAGGCTTCATAAAAATCTGTGTAATCCGTTCAGATTCTGAGGTAATGATTTGAGAAAGAGCACTTTTGAAGGACTGGCAAGCGTCCCTTTGCACACACAAAGTAATAAATCCACCAGGAACTGCTTCCTTTCTCCTGTTACCTATCTCCATGTTCCATGCAAGACCCTCCTTCATCTTTCCCTGGCAAACCTCCACACGATGCTGTCTGTGGAAACTGTTAAAAACACGTACACCTTTGTGGTGACGTTCTGGGTATTTTAGTTTGAAGGCTATATAAGGCCTGTTTTGACAAAGGCCTCTCTTTGCCTATGGCTCTGCACTTGATAAAACACAATGCAATATGGAGAGCAGTGTTGTCCATCCAGCCTTGTCGCCTGTGTGGTTACAGCTTGTTCTGTTTCTGTTAAATGCATTATTGTTCAAGTGCGGTTTCCCAGCCTCTGCTAAATATAAACTAGCAGGTCCATTGGGAAAAGTGGTGAGGGAAACAGACTGCAGTGGTGAGCCTCGTTCCCCCCAGGAAAGGACCTAAAATCCTTCCGTTTCCTTCTCTGTTGCTTGACCACCTCCTTCTTCTCCGGCACAGCTGGTCTCTGGTGGTGATACTTGGCACTCTGCCTTTTGGCACAAAAGACTGGGAGAAGGTGGTTTTCTGAGTCCGTGGGCATCCATAAGCAGTATCACCTGAACTGTGCCATCATGAGAAGAATGGACACACAGGAACATAGCAAGGTTCTTCACAACCAGAATATGTTGCATTGGGTGACAGGTATAAATGTGAGCTTGGCAGCTCTTGTGAGGGTGTCTGAATGATGGGACTATAAGAAGGAAGAGACAAGCATGATGGGTGTAACATAAAAGGCCCTCTGGCCATATTTTATCATGCTCCACACTTTGCTTGCCTTAGCTGGTGGGGTTTGCTTTAAGGGAATTGCTTTAAGAGAGAGGGAAGAGTTTAATTCTTTCCCTGCTAGGCACCTGTGATGCAATGCTGTATCTAAAAGCCCCATACCAAAACTTATTTTTCTATATAAAAGCGTAAGGCATCGCTACAGAAAAGATTCTTCTTGACGTCAGGATTTGACAAAGACAAGGAACAGAGGCTTCAAAAGGAACATGAAATCATCTTGACATCCTGAAAATGTATCGACATCTTAAAAATCACATTAGCCACTTGCAAGGACCTGTTTCCCAGAGTCTGAGGCTTACAGAGAGCTTCTTCCTCCACCGTGGAGATAGTGTGAGAGCCAGTGTGCCACCAGCATCAGAAAGGTGGAGAGGTTTAGCAGGAAAACACGAACAAGAAGATATGCAAGGTTTATTTTTATCAACACTGTGCACATATCCTGGAGAGTGGAGGAGCCACTGTATCCTTGTTGGAATCTCTTATCCTAATCCCAGCAACTGTGCTTTTGCTAGCTTTGTGCAGCAGATGGAGAAGGAAAACTGTTCCAACCACACCTATACTAGTTCTGGAAAATACTCTGGATCACTGCTGAAGTAGAGCAAACTCCAGGGTCACCAAGGGGTAAGACCCTGTTCTACTTTGGAGCATTTGTTCAATGTGGAGCAAAAGGACACACATCACCACTTTCCACTGTGGCTGAAGGAATTGAAGACACTTGGTAACAGTACTGGGCTCAGCAGCAGAAGAAAAAGCTTTAAAATAAAAAAATCACGTGTCATCCCCCTGGTTTTGACTGTGGAACGTGTTAGTCTGGAGTTAAAGCAATAACCTGTTTCAGAATTCAGTGTCCAAACATCAGCTAACTGGAATTTCTGGGCTTCTTCCCATGTCAAATAGCATGCAAGTGAAATGCCTGTATTTTATATAGACTACATTTTAAATGCAAGCCTGTATACAGAATGCTCTCATTTACAAAAACCTAAGTCAGCTATCCTTCTGCTATGCATTAATTCCAGAAAAAGCTGGAAATCCTATGGAAAGTTTGATGTAATTACATCTGACTGTAAATCTTTGACTGTTTTAATATACTCAGGTGACCTAAATAGCATTACGCAGAAAAGAACTTTAATTTAAAGTAATTAAAAAAAGAGTAATTGTCTCAAGATCAGTTTCTTAGAGAAATTACTGCTCAGAAAAGTCCTGTATGCCTTGTTCTACAGCCATATTCTTTGTATTTCCACATTGTAAATACTCCATGGTAAATTGCAATGGAAGCTCAGCTTAGCTTAACTTCTGGCTCTGTGGTACTGCTTCTTGGTTGAGAAAATTGATCTGACTCAGTTTTTGGCATCTATGCTTTACTTTTACAGCTGGTTCATATGTGTCCTTCTAGTTTAATGGTGACTTTTCTTCAGTATGAATTTCTGTCACGCTCAAACAGCTGATTAAGAGCTGCTGGGGCTGTGCTGCCAGTTGTCCTTTAAAATGTCTGAGCCAGTTTTTCAAGAGGTTTAAATGAAGGTGATGGGAAAACCTGTTAGCAATTCAAGGGAGGTTTTCTTGAATTGAATTGCTTCTTTGATCTGGTGGTGTGCCAAGCCAGTTGTCTGAGCAGTCTGAGACTGCCCTTCCTAGAGTGGTTGTTCAGCTGGCTTCACATACATTAGATAGATCTCATTCAAGTGCTGGATTTATTACACAGTGGTGCAGGTCAGCCACATTGTTCATGTGCAATAGGTGCCTATTCCTTTGCTTTTTTCTCAGGGCTTCTGGAAACAAGAGCAGCTAGGAGTTAGTAATAGGCTGAATAGCCAGTTGTACTGATGTGGCTTGAAAACAGCCATTTGATGTATTATGGTGGCCTAAGTAAATCTACACATCAGTTTGTAGGTTTGCCTGTGCAGAAACACGTGTGGGACCTGCTTTTTAAAGGTGACATTGTGATGCCTCAGAGTAACACCCTAAGGCAGAAACACGGTTAGCCCCCCTTGCAGAGGGGCTTCATAAACTTATCATTCGGATTAAACCTTTTTGAAGTTAACCTTAATTTAAGACAGTCATCAAAAGCCATTGGGCTGCTCTGTGGGAGCTGTACAGGTAGCTGTAATAGTATGAGCCTTCACCAAAACTGGGCAATCATTGCCCTTAACAAAGGTACATAAAAATGTACAGGCAGCAAAGTGAAGCTTAAAAACCTAAGAAAGCAGGACAGGGGCACTAACAGTGGGATGCTGAGTAACAACGCAGAGAGAAGTTTGAAAGCCAAAAGAGGCCTGGGATTATAATGAAATTCACCATCTCCAATTCTTTGATTCTTTATAAATGTGGGGAAACAGAATTCTATGCTTTTCCTAATAAACAAATCCATGTGATTGTATTCTCAAGTTCTTCTTTTATCAAAGCATTCCATACAGCAGCATATTTCCTTAACCTCTGGAATCCAAAAGGACTAAAGGTGCATGTGGCATCAGCATTCTTCTGGAGCATGGCTGGACGTGGAGGTAGGCTACCCCTGAGCTACCCTCCCCGCTCCGCCAGCAGCACGCTCTGAACCTTTCTTTTTTCCTAACTACCAAATTGATGCTATTTTTAAAAAAACCCACATACAGATTATTTTCAAATGAAGACGTTTGAGTGTAGCATTTCATTAAAGAAAAAAGTGACAACATATACTTTAGCTTTCTATTTCATCTTAAATCACATAACCAGATTATTGCAGTATTCTTTAAATTCAGAAGTCCCTTTCCCAAATAGCAGCGAAAATAGCTTTCCTCGTGACTGTTTAACTTCTAAGAAAGCTACCTTTTTTTTTTCTCTTTTATGTCAATCCTTCCCATGCACTGTCATCATTTTACCAGGGTAATAGTCTATTTTCTTGCCTTCTTTTTCCTTTTCTTCAGTATTTTCTGTAATTTCCTTCACTAAAAGTACTTGATTCTGCTGACCAGGGAATGACTTCTTGAGCAGTGTCAGGCTGGGGAGATGATTGTAAACTGAGACTGAAGAACTGAGGGACAAATCCCACATACTTAAATATCTACCTAAGACTGAGTAGGTTTTGAAGGTGGGTTTTTCCCTGTGTAGAGTAACGGACAGGTTCTGTGTCTGTATTCACAGGTGCTTGTATTTGATTAAGGCTATGTAAAAAACCAGGAGTAATATAGAAAAAAGTCACAAACAGTTTGAAGGCTGGAGAAAACTACTTATCAAAAGTGACCTCATTACCAAATACACACTCTTATGCAAGTATCCAAACCAGTCTGCTACCATAAAGGTGATTTAATGATCTCTTCTGGCTTAGCAAACATGACCTTAAAGGAAAATAGCTCTGATTTAAGAGTGTGTGCCACCTCTTTAGTTTATTGTCGATGAACTCAATATGGCAAGACTTCCTGTTCAGTCTGCCCTATACTTATTCCAGGCATATTCATAGAATCATGGAATAGTTTGTGTTGGAGGGGACCTTAAAGCTCCTCCAGTTCCAACCCCTGCCACAGGCAGGGGCACCTTCCACTAGAGCAGGTTGCTCCAAGCCCCATCCAACCTGGCCTTGAACACTGTCAGGGATGGGGCAGCCACAGCTTCTCTGGGCACCCTGTGCCAGCGCCTCAGCACCCTCACAGGAAGAGCTTCTGCCTAAGAGCTCATCTTAGTCTCCCCTCTGGCAGGTTAAAGCCATTCCCCTTGTCCTGTCCCTACAGGCCCTTGTCCAAAGCCCCTCTCCAGGTTTCCTGGAGCCCCTTTAGGCACTGCAGCTGCTCTGAGGTCTCCCCTTATGGAGCCTTCTCTTCTCCAGGCTGAACCGGCCCAGCTCTCTCAGCCTGGCTCCAGAGCAGAGCTGTTCCAGCCCTCGCAGCATCTTCATGGCCTCCTCTGGACTCGTCCCATCAGGTCCGCTGCCTTCTTATGTTAGGGGACCCAGAGCTGAATGTTGTTATCCACGTGAGATCTCACCAGAGTGGAGCAGAGGGGGAGAATTACCCTCCTCAACCTACTGCTCACGCAGCTGGTGGTGCAGCCCACGATACAGTTGGCTTTCTGTGCTGCAAGCACACATGGCTGGGTCATATTGTGCTTCTCAAGAGCCAGCACCCCCAAGTCCTCCTCAGGGCTGCTCTGAGTCACTTCTCTGCCCAGCCTGTAGCTGTGCCTGGAAGGTGTAGAACCTTGCACTTGGCTTTGTTGAACTCCATGAGGTTGGCATTGGCCAACTCTCCAGTGTGTCCAGGTCCTGGATCCCCCTGGATCCCATCCCTTCCCTCCAGTGTGTCGACAGTATCACACAGCTCGGTGCCATGACAAACTTGCTGAAAGCCTCTCAGTCCCACTGGCCATGTCACTGACAAAGATGATGAACAGGATGAGTCCCAACAATGACCTATGAGGATTGCTGCTCGTCACTTGGTCTCCACTTGGACATCAAGCCATTGACCACAACTCGTTGAGTGCGACCATCCAGCCAGTTCTTTATGCACCCTGTAGTCCATCCATCATGTCCATGCCTCTCAGTTTTGAGACAAGGATTTTATGTGGAGCAGTGTCCAATGTTTTGCACAAGTCCAGGTAGATGTCATTTGCTCTTTACTTATCCACCAGTGCTGTAACCCTGTTGTAGAAGGCCACCAAATCTGTTAGGCATGATTTGGCCTTAGTGAAGCCATGTTGGCTGTTACCTATCATCTGCTTATTGTCCATATGCCTTAGCACAGTTTCCAGGAGTACCTGCCCCATGATCTTGCCTGGCACCAAGGTGAGACTGACTGGCCTGTAGGTCCCTGGGTGTTCATTTCTTTCCTTTTTAACAGTGGGGGTTACATCTCCCCATTTCCAGTCAGTGAGAACTTCCTCAGCCTGCCACAACTTCTCAAGTATGGTGGACAGCAGCTCAGCCACTTCATCCGCCAGTTCCCTCAGGACCCATGGGATTGTGCACCTTCAGGTTCACTAAATGGTCTTGAATCTGATCGCCTACAGTGAGTGGTCCTTCTTTCTCCCAGACACGGCCTTTGCCTTCTGTGACTTGTATTCTGTGGCTGGAGCACTTGCTGGTGAAGACTGATGCAAAGAAGTCATTCAGTACCTCTACCTTTTTCATGTCCCAGGTGACCAGGTCTCCTGTTCCCTTCTGGAGGGAGTCCACGTTCCAACATGGAATTGTTCATGGAATTAAAAACCTGGAAACAAGATAATCCTGAAGAAAACCCATTCATGGCTGCTTTCTGGCCTGAAGCTTTGGGTTTCTGAAGAAACATAATAACATTAACCATTTGTTTTGTAGGACAAACTATAGGGTATCTCACCTGCAACCCCACACCATAGGTGTGGAGCCAAGCTTCTGAGAAGTGTTCAGAAGGAAAGCAAACTGCCTGTGGAAGGGGGAGCTCAAGCCAAACCAGGGAGCTGTGTAGCACCATAGGCTTCACCATGTTGAGCTATTCCTTTGTGGGTCAATGGGTTGAAATAATGAACAACAAAAATGTGTCTGACAAAATTTTTTAGTACTATTCTAATGCCTTTTTTTTTTCTGTACTGTTTTGAGATCATTCTCTGCTTCAGATTTTTCCTGCTGCTCTAGAACTGACAGTGGATGAAAACATATTTAGTTGTAATTATTAAAGAAACACAGTGGAAGAAAGAATAATTCTCATTGTCACTGGATGGAACCTGCTCCCATGGTGCAAGGACCAAGGTACAAGGAACAAAGAGCTGAATTCAGAGCGCAGCTGAGTAAGGGAAGTGGAAGTGGAGCCTTGTGGGGAGAAATGGCAGGAGCTACTGTACCTGAGAGAGATATGTTTTATATCTTGTTATTTTATTCATAGCTTCATGACTCTGCCATCTCAGATGGAGTTTTGTTCATAGATGTCTTCAGGTTGTCTGGAATCTCCTGTGACAGTCTCAGGGCAGAATTAAAAATGCAGATATGCTTCAGGCAAGAGCTGCATCCATCCTGATCTGTCCTGAAGCTGATGATATGATGGAGGAGCAATGGCACTCTGAAAAGAGCAAGGTGAGCATTAGCAACACAAGAAAACTATGAAAGAGAGAGCTTGAGAGGCCAAGGTGATCAAGTGAACAATACCAGAGTTCAGCAAAGCATTGCACAAACTTCATGTTTGTTCCACTGAGGTGTCACAGGGAAATACCCTTTTTGTTTTCTCCTGCCCCTTTTGTCTGCCTTGCCCCAGTGTACCAAAGTGCTGGAATAGCTGATTTCCTCTCACCATAGAGCCTCTGACACTGACTTTGATATCATTGCATAAAACACTGTTGCTGTGATTCTTTATAAGCTTTGCATATTTCATTCTAAGGTTCAGTGAAATGGCTGTGCAGTGCTGTAGCTGTGGAGACAGGAGCAGCAAGGTTTCAGCAGAGGTAATAACCAGGAATCCTGTGAAGATGTGTGAGTAGTACTTGTTCATATCTACATTTGAGTATTAATCCTTTGTCTTCTGTTGCATTTCATCTGTTGCTATCTACATATGTTGGAATAGCTTCATTGCAGGAGTGTACTTTCCCATCAAAATGTCTCGTTTAAGCCATTTTGATAAAGGTAGTGGAAAAATCCTGCAGGATTTGAGGTGTGCAGCCATGTTAGCTCCTCCATTGAGCGTAAGTGTCCCTCTTCCATTCAACAGAGCATCTGCCTTTGCTCTAGGTATAATTATTGTGGCATGATTTCTCTCAGGCTGATTAAATGAGAGAGTTGGTCAGCTGCAGCATGGGAAAACAAGAACAGCCTCAGTACCGATCCAAGAGAAAGGAACTTTTCATAGGTTTTGCTGTGCCTATTAGCTTTTTTCTTTGTATGCTATTAAGACAGTAGAGCTACCTGTCATGTTAAAAAAAAAAGATAAATAGGAGCACAAAAATGATTCACAGGAGCTCTCCAGAGTCCATATGAGATACCTTTGCTATTTATTGGAGCTGTTCTGGACATAAGAAAAAGGATTAGGAGAGTCAGGCAAATAGAACAAAGGATGGCTCTGAGCTGAATTAATTCTCAGCTTAATTAATTTTCTTCTTTCTCATGCATCATTAAATATTGCTCTTGTACTGTGTATGGAGTATCTATATTATACCTGTCACCTGATAGCAACCACGGTCGTTATGGTAATGTCAAGATTATAATTATAGTCCCTTCTGCAGTGTAGTCATACTATGCTAAAAAACATAGCTTTACATGGTAGTGTCCCATGCTTGGGAGCAGCCCAAACATGAATACATTTTGAGAGGTTTGAGGGGAAAGATGTTTTGTTTCTGATTTATAAAATTCAAGGAAAATTATGGATTTATATGTACATACGTGTGTATTTAATATAAAAGTATGTAGCCTTTGAGCTATGGCTTTACTTCATTTGAGGTAAACAAAACTCGTCAGGAATTCTTATCCATTGTTGAACATCCCTCTGTCTGAGTTTGGGAATTTAAGAATGTTAAAAAAAGTCAGCTATTACTCAGAGATCAAAGAAATCATGTGCAGGCTTGTCTGGCAGCATGTGTCTTTGTGGGAGACCAGCCCATACCCTTTTGCAGTAGATGGCAAGATGGCAGAGAATAAAGTGTATGTCTTCAGAGAGTAACCTGATTTCTGTAGAAGAGAAGGGCAGAACTATGAGAACAAATTGTAAAACATTATCTGGTATCTTCTTCAGATTTTATTGCTATCATTGGCCTATTTTCTTTAGGATTTTGGAGACAATTGTTTATTTAGTTTTAGAGAAAAAATAAAATAAAATTGTCTCCTAAGTATACAACATATGAAATTCCCAAATGGAAAAAGGTTCTAGGGAAACCATAGTAAGGAATATGTGAGTGTGACTCAGGAAGCAAATAGTTCAAAAATGAAAACCCACTGCATGTAAAACTAGGGGTTTTGTAACCATTATCTCATTTAGTAACTTCTAACACTATAGACATCATGTTAACCTCATGAATAAAATAACTGATTATATATTAATCTTGTCTGTAATTTGAAAATAGTTCTGATCAGGATACTCAGGATAGAATGGCACATACAAATTCTTATCTTTAAATGAGAGATCTCTAGAAATGCCCATGGCAGGGGGGTTGGAACTAGATGATCTTAAGGTCCTTTCCAACCCTAAATATTCTGATTCTGTAATACTGCAGGGTTGTTTTGTTTCCTGTTCTCCTCACTTGCACGATGCTATATCAAAAAACTACTTTTTATTCCTTGATTTTGGGAGCAAAGTTGGTGAGTTGTAATATATTTTTGGCAATATTTGACATCATTATTTCGTTCCAAGCACAAGTGTACAAAGCTGTTTACGTGCCAACTGTTCCTAAGTTGGCATAGGGACCTATTATATAAATACATCAATTCAGGTAGTCATTGAGCAAACTCTTGCAAAGAATTCCCATTAAAACATCCAGTGATGACAAGCTTGCCTGTAGATTCAACAAGAGTGCCTGGTGCTAGTGGATGCTGTCAGCAGTGAGGGTAGCTGTGTCTGGATGCTCTGTAGGAACCAAAACTCTTGTACTCTTTTCCGATGGCCAGCTGGGCATCTGACTGAATTACTCTCCCTCAGACAAACCAGTTGCAAAAGGTGACAGCTACTGCATCCCTCTAGCAGCTGCATGTTTGTGCCGCCTTTACATACTCAGTAGCTCATTTATCCTCGTATCTTCATGACTTGAAGTTGCTTATGTGGAAAGGAATACGGGCAGTGGAATCTCAATTAGTTTGTTAATTTTTTAGGGGTTGAGTCCCTAAACTGATGAGTAGAATTTTATGGAAAATCTTTATATTGCTATTGAGGCTGAAGTGAGAGTTTGAAGACTTGACTGGTTTACTACTGGACATAAATTGTGACAAGATCACGTAATGATGCCAGTTGATGGATGTGAACCATACACATAAGACACAGCAGGAATTACCCCTCCTAGCAGTAAAGAGCACACAGGTGAATTAGAAGGAAAGACTGAGAAAACTAAATTGTATCTTGTATAGTCCTAGCTCATCAAAAGCTGTTGAGGATGTGAGGCAGACCCAGATGTGGAAGAGACTTTATGTTCTCTTCTAGTGCAGCCTTTGTTATGAGGTTACACCTTCATTAAGGGGACTGGATTTGGTGTGTGCTTGCATATAGGCAGGTCCTGCAGATATTGCAAAAGCAAATGAAACCCAGGTTTCTTTGAATGGGTGTCAGATTCCAGGTGTATACAAGGAAATCCATCACCCAAAAAGGGTTCTCATTTACACAGCCTGTTCCAAGGAGTTAGGGTGACCATTTCATGTCTGCTCTGCTATTCCCATCAAAAAGTCTTTGGTACTAAAGAAAGAGACACGCCACCCCTCATGTGAATGAGAAATATCTTAGTATCTTTCTCTAGCCTTTTTCCTTTTTTGGCACCTCAGGGAATCTTCCAAGTCTTTTCAAATAATCCTTGTTTGAGACCAAGGATTTTTCTTTAGGAGGCAAGTGCCTTCACCAATGTGAGAGGGCTTAGCTGGGTTGTCTGTGATGTCCTGTGAAGTGTTTATTGGTATTGGTATGGCTCCCGAGCTTTTGCAAAGGCACAGGTAGGTTGCCTAAAGCATCAGTATGGATCTAGATTTTCCATTTGGAAGGAAGCAGTAAGACCTGTTCCAAAGGAAATTACATACTTTTGTCTCCCATTTTTAATGGATGACCAAAGAGTTTATTGAGAGGCTCAGTGAGTAGTTTCTTCCCCTTACTCAGCTGTATGTCTAGATAAAGTATAAAGACTAGCTTGACAATTATATTAACAGTAGCTCCTGATGCTTTGGCTACATCGCACAGTTGTGTTCAGCACATGGAATTACTGTGGTCAAGAAAGGAGAAGCTAGATGGCACTATGGTCCAAAGAGATCATGTGCTGCCGGTGAACAGGGTGAAGCTGTGCAAGTCATCTAATCTAAAAAGACTCTGGAATTTCATAGATAGCAACAAAATCAGGGTCAGAATTCCTGAAGTAGAATAGGGAGAGAACAGGCTTTCCACTGATGCCATTATTTAGCTTTTGTTTTTTATAACACAGTCAGGATTAAACTTAAGCATATAGCATGAAAGAGAAGATTTCAGATGTAAAGTGGCTTTAAGATTGCCTGCACAGATAAAACTGTAGGTTGTGCATCATTGCCCCAACATAACTGGCAATTATTTGTGCTTTTTAAACATGCATTCAGATATTCCTGCTCAGATATGTTAGTATGCATGGAAGTGGATAAGCAATGCACCAGATGTGTGCAGTTAAAGGAAACCAACACACTCATCTTATTTGGTGCAGCAAGTTAGAGGGAGAGAAAATCCACCCAGATCCACTCCTGAAACTTCTCTTGGATCATTTTTAAGGGTGGAGGTAAAGGGACCTGCACTCCCAAAATATAAATTTTGTACAAGCAAAGATCTGGGGTAGTTACTGTAAGTAACTTTATAAAGCTGCTGTCATTTAACTTCAGATACATATATTTTCACTCTCATATGCCAGTTTTCCTGTTCTCTATTTTTAGAACACAACGAGGTTTTTTACTAAGGTATAATAAATATATTATTTTAACTAAAATATTTAATTCATCCATTTGTATTTTTTCATCATCAGTGAAAGTCAGAAAAGAATGTATTAATACAGTTTTAATGAAAATGATAAGGTGAACCAAAGCCTTTACATAAGTTGTAGTTGGTCTTTAAGAGTACAAATAGGAAATTTAAGAATTCCTTAGAAGAATGTGAAAGTTATTAAAATGCAGAACAAATAATCAAAACCATTGGTAAGCTTTTGGAGTCGGGGGAGATCTTGTTTAATAATGAGTTTAAAGAAATCTCAACGTTTAAAAGAAAAGAAGATGCAGGCAGCCACATCACTTTGCATGTGTTATAAAGCCAGTCCCTGGGCTTTCTCATTTGTGTATTTTGCTCATGCAGGGAGGGGCTCTGCATTGCAGCTTGCTATGCCTTTTTCTAAAGGAAGAGTTCTTATTTTTAGAGGAGTTAAATAGTTGTTGGCTTAGAGGCAAGGTATTGCTGTACAAACTGGCAAGTTACACAGACGTGCATCTGTCACAAAACAGAGCAAGAAATAACTGGATTTGTAGTTACGTTATCATGGCAGAAGGTAACCATAAAATACTGTTCCTTCAGAGTTCAGCATATCGCTAACGTGACAGTCAGGGGAACAGATGGGCATCTGACTGATTGGGAAATGCTAGAAATGCTTCAAGAGAGGCTAGAAGAGAGGAAATAATCCATAGACAGAAGACATAGTGGAAGAAGAATGTAGAAAGTGTTGTAGAAAATGTGCAGAGAACTAGGTCCATATCAATTGGCAGTGGGGTTTGAAATGTGAAGAATCAGGACTATTGGAACAATCTTATGCTGGAGTAGCAAAAGTTCCCTTGGGCTAGCAAAGAGCTAA